CATTTTCTTGTGTCACGAGCGTGAGTGATTATGACATATCTGTTACAGAGATTTACGCAGGTTTTTTGAATGCGTGAGCATGTGCGTGTCTGAGTGAGTGAAAGTTGATATTAACGCTTCTGCGAATAATTCTACTAATTACACGAGTTTAATAAAACGAGTTTCGTGTGTAATGCAAGGGGGATTTCCCGTGCTGGAAGTTACCTGAACCGGAATAACTGCAACACACACAGCACTGTGATGGTTCGTTCTCCAGTGTCAAACTGTCATTCCTAAAACCTGTGCTTACATTTGTTAAGGATGAATGTTTTTGTTGAGTTTGAAGACCTGCGCTATTCTGATTGGGCTTATGCAACAATGGATGGTAATACGACAAATTGGTCTGGATTATAAAATTACCACCTGTGGCCTTTTACAAAATACAATACAAGAATTGGATGAAAAGTGTATCAGCTGGCTTACTCGTTGTGCAGTCTGTGTTTTCCCTGATAATGAGGAAACCACGGTTTTCACATGAATTACTCTGCAAAGAAACATTTTACAGTAGGTTTAGTAGAACACGATAATAAGAATAATGAGGCGGTACAGAAGGATTAGCATTTCCTGAGGGCGTTCAGCTGTGTATTTTATGTACCTCATTTTGGGCTTTCTCGATTAAAAATATTCTTCTCATTTTCAAAGCAATTGTTCTCAGTTACTGGAGATCCTTCACGAAGTAAAATGTATGCCTGTTTAGCAGGTAATATATCTCAGTCTGTCCTCTGACTTTGTATCAGCATCTAAACGAGGAAACAGTTTGATTTTAATTCGACATATGAAATTGTCTATAAAAGTTATCAGGAAATTTCACCCTCCAGCCATATTGATCCGTAATATTTTGCATGATGTCGTGAAGTACCTTTTCATGTAAAACACAAATTATTAATCATAAATTCGGCAAGTAGTTCTTTTTATAACTTAGTCGGCCACTTTGAATTTAGCCATATTAACCGATTTCTAAACTTTGTATTACATGAAGTCGTAAATGAGTTTCTTCTATGTCATAAACGCTGAAAGAAATTATAATCTTTTCCTCACGAAGTTTTGGTACCATATTCCTCACCCCTAAGCAATACACACTGTTTGTCTTACCAACTTATCTTATTCCCTCCGAAGCCTCTAATTTCTGGGAAATTTTATTCCACTGTTGCTCTGGATAGACGATTTCCTGTTATCCGTTGAGTATAATCCTTACAGTTCGGGCGACAGCTTCCAGGTACGTGATTCATTTCCCTCCCAAAAACACTGTCGAAAATTTTGATTTCGGAGTGGTGTCTCCTCATGTTGTACTGAAATTCCTCATGAGAGATATTTGCATAACTTCAGTCTGCCATTTTGATTTTTAGCCATATTAAACTTCCAAAAATCATTCCATATCTTATATGAAGACAGGCGATAAAAAGTTGTGCTTATTTTGTTGAAATTTAATATAGAAAATGTTCACTAAAATCTGTTGGAAAATTTCCACTCTTTACTTTCATTGTTCCATATAAACGCCTACTTTACATAAGGCCATACATTGATGTTTTATATACAACACACGCCATCAGTCGAATTTCAGTATTGTGCAGTATTATGTACCTTAAGTTTTACTTGTTTTATCCGAGGCACTTCTGGTAGACTGAAATGCCTTTTATGTAGCTACATCTTACAGGAATTTTAATTAAATGCAAGCAACGTCGTTGGGAGCTACCGCCTTAAATTCTAACGTGTTCCTGAAAATTGCATTGTAAATCAAATTATCAGAATCAGAATATCAGTTTTCCTTAAACTTAATTACTGTATTAAGAACTGAGACAACTTCCAGGACCTGGATAAATTACTTAAAGGTAAAAATGTAAAGTTATCCCTGTAACAGGCCGTGGAGGCCCATAGAGTTGTGAGACGTCGAGGCTCTCACATTTTCTTTAGACAATCGGCTCACAGATGGCGATTAGATTGTCAGCCTTACGCGCCTGCCGCCCTTCACCCTAAGGAAGATTCCTGATACTCATTTCTCTTAGAGGTTGAATCGAACCCAGGGCCATAGTGCGGCTGGAAGGATTAGGTCTGTTGAAAAATCTAATAACCAAATCGGGAATCGAACCCGATACCTTCCGGCTTGTAGCATAGTTTTTCAATCAACTAAGCTACTGCGTGTCCCAGAATAGAGTATGTACAAACAGAAGCACAATACATCATTGTGGTCGCGGTGCAAGGGCCCCTTGTACATTTATTTATTCATTCGTGTACAAACAATTATTAGATTATATATTAATAGTTTAAAATTCAGCAGGAGTTATATATCTACAGTGCTAAATCTGAAATTGCTTACCTTAAATCTTCTTCCTTAAACCTATTAAGAATTTGAAGAATGACATCTTCTGGGATGTGGCGCCGTGTAGATCTTGTATGAACCGAAGTTTCGGAGGAAAGTATTGCCACCGTCTTCAGGGCAGAAAAATTCACAATCTGCAGCCACCTGCTCACTCTGGTTCCACGCTCGCGGATTTTCTACCCTAAAGAAGGTGGCGATACGTTCCTCCGAAACTTCTGTTCACACGAGCTCTACATGACCCCACATACCAAAAGACGGCATTCTTCATAGTGACCGACATGAAGACCTTAAATCTTGCCTAATAATAATTTTTCTGGGCGAGGGGCTGACTGAATGAAGACTTTATGCGGCTGTTCGGGATTGTTCTGGGGGCTTATGTGATGTACATTTCCTTGCCACGGTGGAACTCTTCAAGACTAAAGACACCGCGTGGTCTCCAAAGACTCACCAGTTTCTGCGTGTTTGATAATATCAAATTTTGCCTGAAACTTCAAGAACCGTGCTAGTGTGCACAACTGTGTTTGTCTAAGCAAAGCACCATAAGTATCCAAATAATTCTGGCAAACACACATTTCAAGCATTCAAGATCCCAGCTGACCTAAAGCGACTGACTGACTGACTGACTGACTGATAAATATGTGAAGAAAAGATAGACTCGAAGCGCTGGAATATTTCGAATATCATATTTCCAAATTACGATATTGGATATCGATGTGGAGCTATTAATATATAAACATGAAACCGGTTTTATAGTAATTCGTAATATCGTCAAACAAGGAACTGCACATACAACACATTTTGTGAAATGTGTTGCTATGATTTTATACTTTCAAACATCAAAATGGACACGTGGAGGGTTCGTATGAGCAAGATAATGAACTTTCTGGTTCCATAAAATGTTGGGAAATTCTTGAGTAACTGCACAACTTGTGGCTTCTCAATAAGGGCAAAACTCCATGCAGTTAGTTAATAGAAAAAGTGACATGGTTCTAACCTAATTATTTTACATTATTTCCGAGACCTCTATATCTTTATTACTCCCCTTTAAGAGTATTTCCATGTTCATTTTATTTCCACATTTTTTCTCCTCTTGCTCCCAGTTTGGAGCACAGGGCTGATTTCTCAGTTTCATGATCATTTTACAGACGATAGGACTCCTTGGAAGGGTGATCAGCTCGTCGCAAGGCCTCTACCTAAACACAGAATAAACGTATACATACACCAAACATTCATATATTGTGCGGGATTCGAAACCACGATCTCGGCTTCAGAGCGAGCGAAGAGAGTACCGCCCGGGTACCATGACCGGCTATTTTCGCCTACATAACTGATACAGTCAGAATAAGGCCAGCCCCCATTTTCTCCACCTCACCATACATGGCCACGCTCTGGTCTGGCTTGAGGTGTTGCACCAGCCGACGACAACTGATGGACATAGAGGTTTGGGTTCCAGGCTGGTCAACAATCATCATTAATCATTATCCACTCTATGAGATGGTCTTGCTTTACTGCTATATTCATAGAGTAATGGACCTTCCTTTCGTTAGGAATGTCTTCCTCTACTCCGGTTCGGTTTGTGTTAATGAAGTTTTCTAAAAAAATATTTACTGCCATTTTGATCACCCAGTGAAACCCGTTTCCAGCGTGATTGATAAAAATAGTGTTTTCAATTTTTCACATTTTAAACATTTCGGTTAAAACGATCATCTTCAGAAAGATATAATCAACACATATTGAAACTACTATTACCACGTCATAAAGTAAGTAAAAGTAAAGGTATCCCGTGGAGGCCCATAGGGTTGTAAGATGCTGAGGTTCCCACATTTGCTAGACAATCCGCTCATAGATGGCGGCAAGGTTGTCAACCATACGCGCCGCTTACCCTTCACCCCCAAGAACATTCCAAGAATATTCCTGGTACTCATTTCTGTTAGAGGCTAAGTCGACCCCAGGGCCATAGTGCGGATGGAAGGATCAGGTAAATTTAAAAAAAAAATTCAATGACCTCATCGGGATTCGATCCCGCGACCTTCCGGCTAGTAGCATAGTGCCTCAACCAACTGCGCTACCTCGTGCCCCCATTACCATGTATTATATATAAATATTATATATTTTAACTAACATTAAGATTTGCATTTATTTGTTAAAACATTTAAAAATTATTACAATTAGTCTGTTTACAAAGTAGTGTACAATATTTATTCTAATCTAGAACCAGTTTGGTTCGTGTCCTTACACTTCTCCTTAATGCAAGACGGGTATATTCCACAAAGAGGTATCGTTGTCTGATGATCAGCACTCTTTGGTATCGTGGTCCAGTTACTCAGGCTACGCTGTGTTTCTTTTAAATTATCTCTGTTACTTCGGATGTTGAATGTATTTAATTCCTGTGTAATCTTGGGCTTTGAAAAGACGTTAGCCTCGCTGGCTACATGGATAGGAGAGGGAAGCAGATGGCACAAAGTAGCGATGAGGTACGGACCAACTGGAACAAGAAATCAGCAAAAGATTATTACGATAAATGTGACCAAGAAGGGTCGAAAAACTTCTTGATGGTAATGATGATGATAACCATTTATGACACCAGTGGCAAAATAGTACGACGAAACGTTTAAATTGGTGATCATGTTAATTCTGCTTACAGGAGATTGAGCACTGTTATTACCACGGCACTGTGAAGGATTACCCGGGAGCAACTGCCGCCTTCCACACGTGCAATGGCGTCAGTGGAGTAATTCACGTCGGTAACGAGACTTTTGTGATACACCCGTTCTACGGAGGCGATCTCTCGGTGAGTAGGAGACGGGCACGGCAAGTTGCAGGAACCCAAAATGTGTTAACTTTATCATCTGTGTTTTAATGTTCTAATTATAACTTTCTAAATTATGTATTTATTTGCAGTTAAATGTTTTTACCAAGTCAGTTTTGTATTGATAAAGATATAAATTGGTAGTCTATACAGAAACTGGGCTCGAACATGAAGATTGTGCTTTGTGATATGACCCCCACACAGATTCAGACTGCACGGCGTCACATATTAAGTATCACTGCTGTGAGACTCTCAAGTCTCATGTGAACCTGAATATATTTCAGTGCTCTTTTCAAGAAAATGGGCGTTAGGCTTAAGTATATGTTCGCCTCCTCCCCACATCAAAACTAATCTTAATGTAAAATAATTTTGTGAAATAAGATGTGAGGGTGTTTACTGGGTTCAGCTGACTCAGGATAGGGATTCTTGTAAGTTACGACAATGAAGTTTCCAGTTCCACAGAAAGGCGTTTTTTCAGCAGCTGGGCGTCTGTTGGCTATTGAAGGACGAATCTGCTCACACTGTGATCCAGTTGCCATCGTTTCCAAAAATGGCGATGAAATATATTTTTCAATTAAAGCACATTCATTGGTAGACCGAAAAGAACTGGGACGGAATTCCAATTGAGGGGACCGGTTGTTCACAAAACCGTGATTATTTTTAGTTTATTTAACGGTGCGTCATAAGTTTCGCAAGTTATGTGTCTCGAATGGGAGATGTTGAATTATAAATTTAGGAATGAGATACTCTCCCAGTGCTCTCTTTGATGGACTGGGGAAAACCACGAAAGAAAGCAGCATAGCTGTGTCTAGTGTAACCGCTCACTTCCTTTGTGCCCTTTTCGTTGTGCGCCACTCCACCACCGCTCACTTCTTTGGGTTCTTTACTTTACTCAGTAGAGCTGGGTTCCTATCCCAGGGTCTTATAAGGGTCTGGCTCGGACAGGGCAGGAAGAACACTTCACTACAATCACCCACCTTTCGACGGTTGCACTTAGTAGTCCTTTAATCCCTTCCAGCTTTCTGCATACAACTGAATTTATTAATACTATTGATTTGAACTGTACTTATACTATTTTACGGAAGGGCCGTAGTGGTAAATTTAGTGTCCGACTTTGCCGAAAGTAGTGTCAAGACTCTCCGAGGTGGAATGCCCTCTCTCTGAATTCTGAGGTCCACGAACCCCAGACTCCAAGAGAAATCCACTCCTCCACTTCTACCATTGGTTAATTTTTCAAACTAGGAGGTTCCCTAAATTTTGAATTCCCAATCATGTTGCTCTGCTATGTGATTCTGGCAGATGCTGACCTGACGCTAAGGATGACAGCCCCTTGATGCATTACAGTCAGGGTGTGAGGCTCCGGCCGTCCCACTTCTAAGTTATCGCTGTCCCAAGCTGTCAGCTCTCATTTTCTCAAAGCCTTTCCGACGTTGCTGAAACTGCCAGAATTCCAGGAAAGTACCAGATGTTACTTCCTGTTCACATAGCAAAACTTGAACTATGTCCCTTCCGCGTGTAAGAGCTGGCTATCCGCCGGATCTCTTTGTTTGTAATATTGTTAATCTTAACTTAATACAAAATTTAATTTTCACACAACACTCCTCCAGTCAGAATGGACGGTTACACTAGGAACCCGGCATTACCCGAAGAGGAAGCAGAGAGGCCAGACACTCACTCAGGAAGTCTCATGTGGGTTGAAATAAAATTAATTATTTCTGGTAGCGTAGTTGGTTGAGGCAGATGCTGCAAGCTGGAAGGTTGCGGGATCAAATCCCGATGAGGTGGATTTTTTAAATTTACCTAAACCTTCCAACCGCACTATGGTCCTGGCGTCGACTCAGCCTATAACAGAAACGAGTACCAGGAATATTTCTGCGGGTAAAGGGCGGCCGGCGTGTAAGGCTGACAATCTTACCGCCATTTTTGAGCCGATTGTCTAGAAAATGTGGGAGCCTCAACATCTCAGAGCCCTATGGGCCTACACATCCTGCTACAAGGATACCTTTACTTTTACTTCTTTAATTACGCCACTCCATTAAACCTCCATATTCAGTGAATCTGCGTGGAGTAACACAGCCGGGGCGATAAGCTCATCACTCATCTTCACCGTGTGGGGAGCTTAAAATGCGTATCTTCTCTCATATGCCTTCATGACTTGACTATGAGACACAAGGAGTACTTTGTATTCGTTCATAAATTCAACAGTAAAATGGTGCCGCTTTTTTTAAATATACCTTGTGCCTAGTTGTGGCTTCTCTGTTCAGCTTCATGGACGACAAAGGAATTCATTCGAAAAGTAAAATATTAACACAGCAGAGAAAATGTTGATAAATACACGTACTCTTATTTGAAGCATGACAACGGCTGCTTGCTCTAGTGCGGACAATAAAGTTTATTATGTAAGATTTGAGGTTTTCACGACGGTGACTATGAAAAAACAGTCTTCTGGGATGTGGCGCCGTGTAGATGTGGTGTTAACCGACGTTTAGGAGGAACGTATCGCCTGCATGTTCAGGGTAGAAGGAAGAATAAGAAAATCCGCAAGCGAAGAAACAGTGAGAGCAGGTGCAAGCAGAATAATTTCGGAATCTACCCTGAAGATGGAGGCGATACGTTCCTCTGAAACGTCGGTTAAAACCAAATCTACACGGCGCCACATCCCAAAAGACTGCTTACTTCAGTAAAGTGTATTCTTAACTTATTGAGGCTACATGAGATAAATTGTACATTTCTCCGCTTTACAAGTCGGATCTAGGCCTGCTGAAATGCACCTGTCAACTACCTGCGTTTTAGTGGTCGCCCCTAGGATTATGGCTGTAGTGCCAATGGAAAGAAAATTAATATTTGAAGATATGAATTAAAAATTGCATTAGTTGTGAGAAAGCGCTGTCTTGTTACGTCATGAGAAAACCTGGGGCTCGCCGAAATTCTACACGTGACGGGCAGCTGAGAGAAGAAGTGTGTCGTATTCTGGGATGTCACGCCATGTCATATCCCGGAAGCGCCGTGGAACCGGTCAACAAAGTAAAAATCATCCTTGTATAACTGACTCCATGAACAAAAATTCTTCTTTGGAAGTTAATAATCACTCGGCGAATCAAAAGTTGCCTGCCCTTTGTGAATGTTTCTTTTGCCCTCCCAGCTCACAAGGGACCTACAGTGGTCCCTGATCTTAACCAGACTCATTCAGTCATACTTCCATATCCTGGTTCTTAGAGATCTGTTTTAACAGTATGTTCCCATAAGCGCTCATTTCCTTGCAGTTAACAACTAAAATTTTACCTGCATTTCTCGACTTTCTCTCGCTTTATAAATTTAGCGTCTGCTCTGTCTCGCTCTCTTCAAGACGATTACGTTGGTGAAATAACGCTTGGTCACAGACTGTACACACGGAGAGGTAGCATAGCATGCCCCAGCCACCCACCCACCTGTCGGTTCTTCCACTCTTCCCTTCGTCAACTTCTTCGCCCCACCCCTCACACATCTGCTGATGTCTGGTTCGCTCTGCACAGAAGTGCTGGGGAGGATACAGGCAAGCAGGCAGGCGGGCAAACGTGTTGAAAGGTTATCCGTGTTTGCTAACTCAACTTGCTTGTTGCTTTGCTACGTTCTCACTTCTCCGCCTGAAATGGCTACTCTGCCCCACTTCCAAGGATACTTCACACGCGTGCGTTTTTTCAAGCACAGTACACTGAGATTTTTAATACTTCTTACATTGGCTGTAGGTGTTCTGTTGTTAGGACCACTGTTCACTGCGGGCATGGATAGTACAAGGCCGAAATATTACCGGCTTTTGGGATGTGATGCCGTGTAGTCTGGTAGAAAGTTACTGAAGTTTTGGAGGAGGAGCCTGATCCCTCTGTCTTCAGGATATATGACCTTGAAGATTAGTAAGCGGGTACCTACGAAGCGTTTGTAAATTTCTTCCAGACAACATGATGTCCTAACAGAGATGATTACCGATGTGATAACTGCGAATCTAGCAATTACGAAGTCTGATTATGCTCATCGAATGACGTCATGAATACTTCATATTGTTCTCAACTTGGGAAGTAACCGTGAAAGAACACGGGAAGAGGAAACCTTTATCTGGAGCCAGAACCCAAGTCCATAAGCGGCTCACCCCATGTCCGTTACAGTTACGTTTAGGCTTTAGAGCGGTTAAAAATACACACCTTACATAAGAGAAGGGGGCCGGGGGTATGCGGTAGCATAGTTGGTTGAGGCACTATGCTACAAGCCGGAAGATCGCGGGTTCGATTCTTGATGTGGATTTTTTCAACCGACCTAGTCCTTCCAATCGCACTATGGCCCTGGGGTCGACTCAGCCGCTAACAGAAATGAGTACTAGGAAACTTCCTGGGAGGTAAAGGGCGGCCGGCGCGTAATGCTGACAACCTCACCGCCATCTGTGAGCCGATTGTCTATAGAAAATGTGGGAACCTCAAACTCTCACGGCCTGTTACAGGGATAGCTTTACGTTACATAAGAGAAGGCATTACCTCGATGCACTGTTCCTTATTCAGATTTACCTTGGTTCTAAATTCTTGTCTTATCCTTTAGAAACTGTTGGTCTTCGAGTTGCTGCTCGGTATAGCGGAGACTTTGCTTTGTTCAATGTCTGCTCCTAACGCAGTTGTCCTTCCGTTATATGCGTTTAGGCAGCTAATGTTTGCAGGGGCGGTGACGCAATTGGAACCAAAACTTTCTTCTTAATCATATTTTATAGTGGTTCTTTCTTCTTGTTAAAATATGAACTGCATTCAGTATACTACGTAAATGAGTTTATATACTGTATATATTGTCACGTGTAGAGGGCTTGCGGATGACTTCTAAGACGGGTTTTGGATTGGATTCATTGAAACTTATTCACACAACTTGGGACTGCAGGCAATATAGCGCTGTTGCTGATCTACGCGCTTCACACTTCACCGTAACACACGCACTGGAGTTCTCAGACTTCACTAGGTGTATCCTGGCAA